CCTATCATCCTCGTTGATGGTGTTCATGAGGTTGGCGATGATGCCCACCACTGCCTTTTGTCTTTCATCTCCTTTTTCTGTCACTGTTAGTTCATGCAAACGGGAAAAAGATGGTTGTTGTCATTTTTTTTTATATCTAGAAGGAACTAAAATTTTAACTAGAAGCTCCCCACAAACGGCGCTGAATTGTTTGACCGAAAAGTGTTAAGCTTTTTGTTAAACTAATTAATGAGGAAATAGAGGGTAAATCCTAGTTAAACATAATAAATTCTAGATCTAAAATTGAAGGGGATCGGTGGGATTAGACCGTGTTCAAGAGCAATACATACCAAGCATATGTTCAATGATTGTCAACAAATGTAATGAAAAAAGTATGCAACAAATGTAATAAAGAGGAATTTATCACCCAAATATTAGAAGACTTGGGTGATTCTTCTTCCTGACAGCAACGTGCGATAAAGAAAAGTATTGATGGATAAGGAATCTTTGGATCTTGTAAACGAAGAGTGACCAACGTATGTTCAACAATGTAGTCGGTGAACAAGACAATTTTTTTTATATTCTTTATAGTCAACCATTTACAAAGTGCTCTTATCCAAAGGTGAAGGTCCCCCTTTTTATTCTTTATCTCTTCATATTTATAAGGGATATCCCTAAGAAACCCTAAAAAGTACAACATAAAGAATAGCCAATGGAATATTCTTTATGTCCATAGCTAAACTATCCTACGTTGCTTCCTTGCTCCATTTACTTGACCTCGGCAATAATCCTTCTTAAGATAACTCCTCGCGTTGTGCCGTAGTCGACTCTATCTTCGACCCTGTTTATTTGCAATTATCAAACCGTCCAAATTTAGACCAATACACCAACCATCTCCACCACCTGCCACCTTAATCAACGGTTACTCGTTAGTCTTAAAATATTTAAACAGGAATAAATATGACTTATTTAGTTTCTTATAGTACAGGGGTAAATATGACCATTTTCTATATATTTTATAACTCTAATCTAAGATAAGACTATTCTTTTAATCAGTTTTTAATGAAATAATTGTACATTATTTGATTATAATAGTTAAAAACTATAACCCTTAATTTATGTAATTATTACAGTTAAATTAATAATAATAATAATAATAATAATAATAATAATAATAATAATAATAATAATAATAATAATAATAATAATAATAATAATAAACATATAGTTGTCATAACTGGACAACACTATTGGAATTAAAAACTTAGTTATTAACTATTACATATTAAATGTATTATATTTAGAAATATAGATTGATGTAAAGATATTGTATTTTAACATGGATAATACTCATATTAAATTATTAATACTACTATTAGAATATAGGGGCGGATCTACATGCAGATTTTGGGTGCTCAAGCACCCATTATCTTTGACAAGATTTAGTAAATTTGTATAGGTAATTATAAAAATATTTAGATAAATATTGATTGAGCACTCATAACTAAACTCTTTTTTCCTCTTCTTTCAAATTTTTTATCAGTGAGCAGCTACGACTTTAAAATCCTGGATCCGCCACTGTTAGAATAACAATTATAGGTAGCTTACCAATAGTGGATGATTCTTGCTTTGAGAAACCAATTGCAACCGAAACTCAAATTCAACCTTTTGATGACTTTCGTCTTTTATAATATGAAAATTTCCACTTTAGATAAGTTTAAGCTAACAATAATTTAACAATATTAAATGCACGTCGTATGTACTTTTTGAAAGTAATAGAGAAACTTGCAATTAATTTTTATAAGGCAAACATTTTGACTAGGAGTAGAGTTCCACGTCGTATGAGGAGTAAACTCATCCTTTTATAGTAGTGAAATAAATTAATTTTTTGTAACAACAAAAATAATGACATAGAAAATAAGATAAAAGAAAATAAATATTGAAAAAAATGCTAGAAAGATCTAAAAACGAGAAATAAAAGATGACAACAAATTTCTTCTTATGTTTCATCTTTGTTGAGTATAAAAAATTTGAAAGTTAATCTCATCGATTTCAAATATATTTTTTTCAACTCAAATACATAGATTATAAGATAAGGATATCTTAGAATATATTTTTTAATTTACATTATGAGCCATTTTAAAAAAATCACTATTACTAACAAACTGATATGATTCGAATTTGAATTGGAATGCAATTTGAGTAGTTTGCATTGAGGTTAGCCAAGTATGGTGTCGAAAAATAAACTACTTGACAATTTTAAGACAATATATGCAATATTTTATAATAATAATCAACTAATTTAACATTTAATGATTCGAAGAACAAAATTTTTGTATATATAGGGTATTAAAAATTCAAATTCTGGGGCTAGAGATATCGATAAACTTAAAGTGGAGTCATACTGAAATAAATCCGGCCAAAGAATCATTTAAATTTTAGATAGCCGATTAAAGTGAATTTTAAATTAAGGATAATATCTTTACTTGCATCATTGTAAAGATAATTATTATAATAATATACATGAAGTTTTAGAAATTGAAAATTCAAGATAGAAATATTTTTTGAAAGATAAAACCATACCAAATAAGAGTTCAAGTAGTAGTATAAGAGTCACGTCGTAATCAAAAAATCGTTTATATCGTATCAACCTTTGTGCTTTGCCATAAATATGAGTTATTATTTCACTTTGTGGCTATTTTTAGGTTCCAATGACACCTATGAGAATAGTGCAAAAATAAAATTATCACTACGAGAATTGAGAAAATATTAGTCTTTTTTCATGTAGTGTTTCTTAATTAATATCCAACGATTGTCTATAATTATTTAGAAGGTTTAAATGTTAAGGTTAATTCACATATAATTCAAATAACTCAGATATTTAACATGGTTAATATCAAATATCAAAATGGAGTAAAAAAATTCACTGGCTAAAGAATTTTTTATATTTTTAGATAGCCAACTAAAATGAGTTTTGAATTAAGAATAATATTTTCAATTACATTATTATAAAAATAATATTTTAGAAACTGAAATTTTAAGAAAGAAATATTTTTTAAAATATATCAACACACCAAATAAGAATTCAACTAGTAGTAAAAGAGTTAAGTCTTATCCAAAGAGTCATTCATTGTCTCAACATTTGATTGTTTTGCCATAAATATGAGTTATTATTTTGCTTCCTGACTATTTTTAGGATTCAATGACACCGGCAAGAATGGTATCAAAAAAGAAAAATAGAAGAAATTGTTAATTTTTTTTCATGTAATTAATATCCAATGATTATCTATATTTACTGAGAAAGTATCAATTTTAAGATTATTTACATACAATCCAAATAACTTAAATATTTGACATGATTAGTGTCCGCGCATCCGCGCGGGTACTAATATTAGTTAATTTTTATAAGGCAAACATTTTGACTAGGAGTAGATTTCCAACTAGACATAAAAGATCCGTGAGGATATCTCATTTCGAGTTATTTGGTGATTAGTCTTCTCTTTTTCAAAATTAGGAAAACTTACCAAATTTTTTTTGTTTTTCACCCTATGTTCGCTATTCATATTGGGATTTCGATTAATTCGATTTCGCCCGCATAAACCCATTAATTCAATTTTTTGAGAGCATTGTGTTCATGAATCTCACAAGTCATACCCAAAAAAAGAGTTGAGGTATCTACCTTTTATTTTTTGGTTATACGAACACGCAATGTAGTGTTAATACATCTTTCCTTAAACGACACTCCAACTAGTTGAATTGCCAGAACGATATGGGCAAGGAGAAGATCCATTAATCATCCTTTATTAGCTGATTAATCACTATTTATGGATGCAGTAATCACTATTTTCATTACTCTTGCTCCAATAATAAATGATTCACACATCTTTTATATTTTTTCTTGAGCCGATGGTCTATCAAAAATAATCTTTCTGAGGATAAAATCTGTATCCATACTATCCTCCTTAGACCCTACTTTGTGGGATTACACTATGTTTTTTGTTGTTATTGTTGTATTTTCTAGAAAGGATGGGAAGAGATAAACGATAATTTAGTTAAATATCCTTCATGATTGATAAGTGTGCCTAAATCTTGAACGAGATATTTTTTTAATACCAAATCATATTAGCTTATCTTAGTTAAATAAATTAATAAATAAGAATATGTATTAATTAATTATTATTAAGTGAAAGAAGCCTATGGATTAATACATATGCATCTATTAATTTAGTGTAAACAATAAAGTATTAGGGAGTAGGCTGCTAATTAACCAATCATTTACTCTAACCAACGTTAAACACAAGCAAATATTCGCCATGTAATCTTTCAACCCTCCTAACAACTTCCTTAATTCGAATGAATTAATAAATTAGTGTATCTAAGCTAAGCTTAATTACAAATCATTATCATCAATTGATGGTAATGCCAGAGCCCGTTTGACGTACCTTATTAAGCATAAACATTCTTAAGTGTACTAAATTTAATTTAGTAGATAAATAATTACATGTGTGCAGAGGCAGATCCAAGAACTAATATTCTATGAGTTTAATGTTTAAGGGTTTTAATATAGAATCCATCATAATTTTAAAACTATGGGTTCAATCTACTATTTATTGTAATTCTAATATATTATTACATATTAATTTATGCTTCGCGTTGAAAATTATGGGTTCAATTGAAGCCGTCACCGAAATGTTACATCCGCCCGGCATATGTGAATAAACGTATTGAAACTAATGATATATCAAAGTTTCTGGTATAATTAAAAAAAAGCAAGGCATGATAAGCAATCGTTTCAATTACAATAATTTTAATGTTCTTACAATTATTTACACTAATAAGGAACTGACTATTTTCAATAGTTTTAATTCCAATATGATTCAAATACAATTGAAATTATGTGTAAATTGAAGTAAATATGTTGTAATAAGATATTCAATTATTGACCGGACAATATTGCCCTTTAACAGGACATTACGGTTTTTGAGGTTCTTCACACTATAAAGCATACCCGTAAAAACTACCTTACATCATCATCTTGGTGGGGTTTTAGCATTATTTCTTTTCTGTTTGGTTTTTTCAAACCCAGAGGTTTTTCATTTCTATCCACAAAACTCTTCACTTTCACCCAAAAACTCATTAAAAACAAAATCATAATTTAAATTAAATCAATTCACATCCTTTTCCTTTTGCATTTTTCAGTTCGTGATTTCAAAATTCTCGTAGAATCCGTACAGATCTCTTCTCAGGTAATTTTAACTTCTCTTATCTACTTATTATATGTTCTGCATTTGAATTTTGTTCATTTAATTGCTTGCAATTGGTTGTAGTAATGAGTTTTGGCTGTTTTCTGGTGAAATTTAGTTTGATCATACGGAGATCTGATCGGATTTGCTGAATTATTTATTTATTTATTATGTTGCTTTGCTAATTCAAGGGTTTTTAGAGTAGTTCTTTAGCTAATACCATAAATAATGGAACTGGAATTGGAATTTGAATTGTATTCGAAATTTCTGTTTGGAATTTTTTTACTGTTTGNGCTTGCAATTCAAGGGTTTTTAGAGAGTTCTTTGCTAATACCATAAAATAATGGAACTGGAATTGGAATTTGAATTGTATTCGAATTTACTGTTGGAATTTTTTTTACTGTTGGATTTTTAACTTCCGGAAAAGCGATCTGGTTCAATTGTTTGGTAATATTTGGCGAGAAGTATTTATTACTTGGATTTTCGAGAATTCCTCTAGTTCTGCACTTGCTCCTTATTAAACTTTAAATTGCAAAATTCTGCATTAAAAATGTTATTTTAGTTATATAACCCTTTTTCATATGAGATCCGGTAAAAGATAACAGATGAGATTTTTAAATTAAACACAAGAGATCTTTGTAGGGTCATTCCCTTTTATTCAAATTGTAAGTGGGCATAAAAGATCATTCATGAGCAAAATTATGCATCAAAGTTTGAGAAACTGGAAAAGAATTGAAGTATCCTTTTCTGTATTATCGCTGATTGGAAGTTCGAGGGTTGGAGCTGGATCCATTTCATGAATGTTTTTGTCAAAATTATTATTGGGTTTCCTGTTTTCTGCATCGAGCATTTTAACATGTGCAGTGTGATACATGAGCAGATGTAGGCTTTAAGATATGGGTTCAACAGGATACAATAGTTTTGGCCCAAACCCTATATATATGTTAAGAAATACACTGAATATGTACAAAAATTAAATTCAGAATCCAATTACTAGCACTTGAGGTTGCTGTCCTAAATCCAGAATCCATAAAGTTCAAATACTGGATCTGCCTCTGGTGTGAATGTGGAAAGATCTCACTTTCTGTGTACACTGGTTTACACGATATTGATCTAGGCATATAGAATTCTAGGTATTTTGCTATTAACTGATGTGTTTACTTCTTCTACCTGTGAATACTAGTAAATCCAAGATACTTGAAACTGGACTAGTTTTGTAACAACTTTAACACTGATCACCATCATCTCTAGGATGATGATTTATTATTTCAGTATTCCAAATTGTCAACTCCAAACATCTTGAGGGGATTAATGTATAATAATATTTTCTTCCTGATTGTCCTGCCTCTTGAAGGTGGGAAATCATACAACGTCTCCCAGAATTAAGTCAAGTAGCATCATTATATTATTGCAGTGCCTTTGCCTAGCTAGTAGTCGCCAGATGTCCTTAATTTTCTGATTTTGGAATGCTGTATATTTGCCTTTTGCTTATGCTATATGATATGATTGATAACCTGCTTTTTTTACTTCTGTAGATTGAAGTGATATTGGTGTCACTGGCTCATTGTACATGATCATCACTTATTGGCATGCTACCTGAGGTATGTCGTCGAAGAAGAGGCTGAACTATGGTTTCAGTGGCTATCAATTTCCTGTTATACCAAAAGCTCCTAGATCAGTTAGAGTAAGTAAGCTGAAATTGTTAATTTATGCATTCTCTTACAAGTTTTCTTCTATTTTTCATTTTAATTTTAATTTTTTCGTTTCTTGTATATGTTTCTCTAAATATCTCTGTAATCACAATTTCTTTCAGAGGAGACACTCGCATAATAATTTGGACAATAATCAAATTTGTGCATTTGAATTATTGGCGGCTGTTGCTGGCGAACTTTTACAAGAGAGCGAAAGCTCTGCTTGTAGTAATGCGGCGGAAGGAAAAGATGAGCTTGCTGATTGCAGGGTCGGTGTTAAATGTGAGCAACTTAAAGAAGATAAAGCTGTGAAATCGGAGTGCTTCAGCCAGGGGAGTTGTGTAGAAAGCACTTATATACCAGAACCTGCAGCGCTAGAGCAGAATCTCAAGCATAGTTTGGATAAGCCTAATCATGTAGAAAATAATATTTTCCACAAACACAATTGTAGTATTATGAATGCTGATTTTTCACAAAAAGACTGGTCTTGCGCAAAGTTGGAAAACTGCAAGAAGGTCGATAGGGGTGGAATGTTCCACTCTGAAGTAGAAGGCAGATCCTCTAATCTCGGGAATGCATGTAATAAGAAAATTGAGACAGTTACTCAAAAACAGTTAGATGATGACAGAAAGCAAACTGATGACTTAACTGTGGCTAACTCTTGCAGTGTGAAGGGTCCAATTGTGGAACATGTGAATAATAATGCCACAATTAACTCAGACAACAGTGTACAGTTTCCCTTGTACAGGGCGGTTCCTAAGCCTTCTTTTGGAAAGCAAAGGAACAATGTAAAGTTAGGTATTAGAGATGATGACGAAAATTCTTTTCGGTCTTATAGCCACAGCAGTAAGATAAGGGCCTTCAGGAAAACATCACGTATTGGATACAGAAGAATAAAAAGGATTTTGACATCTAGACACTGGAAGATAGCTCCACAGCTGAAGGACTGCGAACGGTCATGCTTCAGTAAGTAGAGTTATACCTCTGAAAATTTAGTGGGCTTAAGCTTTTGATTTACTAAATTTCTATCTGCTTGTTATGTCATCTTCTAACTACATGGTTTTGGTGTTTTAGATAATAGAGTGAAGTCCTTTTATCAAAACAGGAAAAGAATATGTGCACTGGAAAGATGCCGAGTTGAAATTCCTTCAAAGAGAAGGAAAATGTCTCACTATAACTCTGATGTTGCTTATGACCAGCAGGCCAGTAGTGAAAGAAAATCAAACTCACCTGAAAAGGGAATCAAGAGAGATATTATCCCGCATAGAGGTCAATAATCTACTATCATCCTTTCCATGTAAGGTTCGTAGTTATGAAGAGCTACTGAGTACTGAGTGATCTCTCTTTTACAGGATCAGGGGCTTCAGCTTCAGCTAAAAATCATCAAAAAAAGGATCCTTGTGGTAAGACTCTTCAACATTTTTTATTTGGATTGGGCATTATTTCCCGAGTAGTTTTTGACGTGTGTTTAATTTATTTTTTCAGTAAAATTTAGCATCAAGTCCTTCAACATTCCTGAGCTTTTCATCGAGGTCCCTGAAACTGAAACTGTTGGTTCGCTGAAGGTATGCAGGGTCACATCTTGTTGGGTCATTGATCAAGATTACTTAACCTTGTGCATCTGAGGAATTCTACCAATATATCGATAAATTTGAATTGCTTTTTCTTGTATGTTCACGAGGATCCCCTGACATTCTAGCTCGCTGGAGGGAAATGAGATGATCAATCATGCATTAATAGATTGTCGATGAATTCATCTTTGAGAGTATTAATTAGCCTTTCTCAGCTCACTTCACTTGTTACTAAATATAGTAATCATTAAATCTTAACTATACTTATGTAATAATCCCTCTGATAACGTTTAATTTAGCATATTCAACATGCAGAAAGCTTAGGTTTCTTTTAATAATGGCTATTTTAATAGTTGAAATCTTTTATTTTGTGGTGATGATAGAAAGTGTACTATTCTGGATTCAGCCCAAGATTCGAGTTAGATAAATTTTACTTTTGATTATGCAGAGGTCAGTAATGGAGGCAGTAAGATCTATACTGGGAAATGGATTACGGGTGGGGGTGGTTCTCGAGGGGAAGAAGGTCAGAGATGACAATAGAACTCTACAGCAGGCTGGTGTCTCTCAAAATGGCAACCTCGATACTTTGGGTTTTACGTTGGAGCCAAGTTTTTACCCAGTTTCTCCATCATTGCTTTCTAAAGATCCTCCTGCTTCATCACCATGTGTTGCTGATCATGAATTAACTAGGTATTATAGAGGACTTGCACTTTTTGTGCTTTTGTGTGCTGTAGCATTAGACAGTTATCAAAATTCAACAAAATCAATGTTTCAATAGATTAATGCTATCATATGGCTGTTTATTGTGCTTGGACTAATATTGCATCTTTGTATTCAGGCGTCCGCCTAGTCCTATCTTGGAATTAGAGCTTCCAAGTGCTTCGTCAGATCCTTCAAAGACTAAGTTGGACAAGCATGACGAAGATTACCATGAACTGGCGCAATCACCTACAAATCCTATTGATCCAACAAGTGATGTAGCTATTCCTGATTCTAGAGCCGTGGTCATAATACCTCATCTGAATGCTGAGGCACTTGCTGTGGTTCCTGGGAGCCCGAAGAACAGTCGTTCTGAACTTTCACAGCGTAGAATAAGGAGACCATTCTCAGTTGCGGAAGTAGAAGCTCTAGTTGAAGCTGTTGAGCAGCTTGGAACTGGAAGGTATCTAAACTATAATTTTATGTGACGTGACAGTGCTATCCCCTTTACTCATAATCATGAGAAACTGTCCGAAGTTTGTTATCCTCGGAGGATCTGCATTCCTTACTGATATCTGATTATGCAGGTGGCGTGATGTCAAAATCAGAGCTTTTGAGTATGCTGATCATCGAACTTATGTTGATGTTAAGGTTAGACATCTAATCGGTGCATTTACCTTTTTCTGATTTTTGATGAAGAAAGTATATTATTTCATTTCGCTCAGATGCTAAGCCAATTTTGCGCATTGATGTTTTATATCTGTGATACTTCTACATGCTATCCTTAGCTCTGAAGTAAATATCATTTTCTTTGTTATATATCTGAATTTTGAGAATCTAGGTCTTAGATATCCATATCAACATGTGAAGTAGGCATGTTACAGTATGAAAAGATGATTTACGTACTTTTACGATTCCTTAGGTTATTAAACTTGTTTTATTGTTATTAAATATATGACAGCTCTAACTGATTGCACGAGAAGGCGAAAGCGGAATACATGAGTAGCTTTGGGATAAATTTGGATCTTATACTAATTATTAAATCTGTATTAGCAAAGCTAATGGTTTTTTCCTATCATCTCTGTTAATGTGGGGTTCTTGGTTTACATTAGGATAAATGGAAGACATTAGTCCATACAGCAAGCATTACACCACAACAGAGAAGGGGAGAGCCAGTGCCACAGGAGCTTCTGGACAGGGTCTTAGCTGCCCATGCATACTGGTCTCAGCAACATGGGAAGCAACATGCCGAAGCTCTAAAAATGGCGGATTCTCAGGTGCAGAACGTTGGGGCGTAGAGAAAATATGCTGAAATATTATTGTAGGAAACATGACGATAAATTGTAAAGAAAGTTTGCTTTTGAATAACTAGTTAACGTTCACACACACATCGATTTACTGCCAAATCTTCCTCTGTGACTGGGGGACAGGCAGTTGTAAATGATTCAAGTTCAAGGAATAAAGCAGTAGTCTAACAGGCATTAGGGATCTCTTTATTTTTGTTGGTTCTATTCTTTCAGGTAATTGTTAGGATGGGATAAGACTACGTAAAAAATCAAATGTATTATGTACATTAATGTTGTTTTTAGTATTATTTCACTGTCATTAGCTGTGTATTTCTTCTACCAGTATTAGTTCATTTACATTTTGTACTTCATACAGGCAGCGAAAAGTTAGTGCAATGTTAGATTTAAAGCCTCATCATGTTGATTGATTTATTGCTTTTCTTGTAACATTCTAAAATTTGAAGAAATGAAAGACCTTGCACTACAATAACTTTTTTTTTTTTTTGGTTTCCCACCCGGTGTCCGGTACCTGCATTGGAGTCCGACTATATCCGGATTCGCGCCGGATAGGGCCCCATTCGGCGGGTAAAACTCCCTACCAAAGATTTTTTCCTATCTATACCATATATGAAACCTTATTACTAAAAATGTGCATAATTCCATTATTACCCGTCATTTTTCTATTTTTCCTACAAAATTTATAACATTCATTAAATACCCAATATTAATAGCTGATTCCTTCCAAATTAGGCACCTACAAATCTGGGATAAATATTTGAATAGCTTATTCCTTCCAAATTAGGCGCCTAAAAATTTGGGACTAAATATTTTTTCATATTCACATCAGATTTGTTTCCTCCTTTTTCTGCTGGCTTCTTTATACCATTCATTAAATACCCAATATTAATAGTTGATTCCTTCCAAATTAGGCGCCTACAAATCTGGGATAAATACTTGAATAGCTTATTCCTTCCAAATTAGGCGCCTAAAAATTTGGGACTAAATATTTTTTCATATTTACATCAGATTTGTTTCCTCCTTTTTCTGCAGGCTTCTCTTTCCTCATTTTCACGTCCTCGCCCTGCAACTTTTAATCCACGCCCAGTAAGTCAACTCATGTCTCCAACATCATCCATTACCGAGATTCACCAGCAATTTGTTGCGCCTAAAGATACATTGGAATCTGATTTCGGGGAGTCTCCCATGAAGAAGAAAAAGAGAATCAAATTTTCCATTCCTCTAGCTCCAGTCAACAAATTTTCTAAAAAAATCTACAAATAAACTATAAATCAGTTTAAGTATGTAATAAAGCAATATTGTTTTAATGGTATCTACAAATTACTACATTTATACTACAATTAAACTGCAATCTATGTTGAAAAAAAATGTTGACTACAAAATTTTCTCCTAATCTTCAAATTTTCTATAAAAAATCTACAAATAAACTACAAATCAGTCTACGTATGTATAAAGCAGTATTGTTTTGAAGGGTATCTACAAAATTACTACATTTATACTACAATTACACTACAATCTATGTTGAAAAAAAAATATTGACTACAAAATTTTCTCTTTATCTACAAAATTTCTACAAATAAACTACAAATCAGTTTAAGTATTGTATAAAGTTGTATTGTTTTTAAGGGTATCTATAAAATTACTACATTTATACTACAATTAAACTATAATCTATGTTGAAAAAATATGTTGACTACAAAATTTTCTCTTCATCTACAAAATTTCACAAAAAAAAAGTACAAATAAACCAACCTTTCTTATTCCATCTTCATCCTTGTCAAAGGCCCATGACTACTCCTTAATGAAATCTTCAGGGTTGTATATGTACCAAATTGGTGTTGGCCACAGCCACCGCCAGTATTTGGCATTATTATTGTATGGGATTTACAATGGGTTTCATATTGAATCTCTTTGGCTAAAAATCTGATTATAAAAAATGGGTCTCATCTCTGTATTTTTTGAGAAGAAGAAAGAATGGAGAAGAGAAAGAAATGGGAGGGGGAAAACAGTGCTGGTCAGATCTTGGGAATTAAGGGGAGAGAGAAACGTGGGATATATGGACATCTTTAATTAAGGAGTAAAAAACTGCCAATTAATTATACCTCTAAATTAATTATGGTATATAAATGGTAATTTGGTATGCTGAAATGTAATTAACTCAAACCTTAAATATTGAGGGTAATAAGGTTTCATATGTGGTATAGGAAGGTAAAAATCCCTTTTTCCATACCCAAGGCTCGAACACGAGACCAATGGTTAAGGAAGGAGCAATCCCATCCATTGCATCACATCCTTTGGTGGTGCACAACAAATAACTTAAAAGAGAGGAAAACTGAAAGGGCTGAATAAAATAAGAAACGAAAAGGAAGTTACAGAGAAATTGGACTGGAAATGAAGAATGGAAAATGAATAATAATAGGAATGAATAACAATAGTGATGCAACAACAAAAAGGAAAATAATAAATGAAAGCTGACGGAAAATTAGATTTTTGCATTTAATATGTAGGATAAGCAAAATAGCACGTTACTTTCGGCATGAGATATAATGATCACTAGCTTCAGGTTGCTTCAGAATATGAGCAACTCATATGGCTTGGCTTCTGGCATTATCTTTTTTAGAGGCGGAGTCGAGATTTAGTTTATGAATTTTTAAATTAGCACTGAATTCATAGTTCAGTCACTGAATTCACAATTAAATATTTATACATGACAAAATGACTAGGAAATGAAGAAGATGAACTCACCTTGTGTGAGCTCTAATGACGGTTGAGGCCAGCCATAGATGAGAGAGTTCTAGAAGCTTTTCTATTTTCTAATTTCTGAATGTTATAAATGAGTGTCTTTACAAGAGGTATATAGGAAAATGATGTAACGAGTATCTACTACTATTTATACTTGTACTACATACACATTCACCTATACAAAATATTACTTGTACAAAAAATGAGATAAATATACACGTGTGTCAATACCCCCCTTCAAGTTGGAAGGGAGGAACTCACAGCCAACTTGCTAAGAAAATTGTAGTGTTTCACCCCTGTAAGAGGCTTAGTGAATATGTCAGCGAGCTGGTCATTGGTGGAGATATGATGTAGTGTGATAAGCCCTTCATGTACTTGATCTCTTACAAAGTGGCAATCCACTTCTATATGCTTTGTCCGCTCATGGAACACAGGGTTTTTGGCCATATGCAGTGCTGTTTGGCTATCACAGAAGACTAGCACAGGGAGTTGTAGGGGAACTGTCAACTCTGCCAGTAACCTCAATAACCATACTAGTTCTCCTACGACTTGTCTAACAGCCCTGTACTCTGCTTCTGCTGAGAACAATGAGACAGTGTGTTGCTTTTTCGACTTCCAACTGATAGGTCCATCACCCAGTAAGACAACATACCCACTGACTGACTTCCTTGAGTCAGGGCAGGCTGCCCAATCTGAGTCACAAAAGGCTCGAACTCCATAGTTTTCATTTTTAGACAAGAAGATGCCTAAATTTGGATCACCCTTGAGGTATCTCAACACATGGTATGCAGCCTTCAAATGGGGCTCCCTAGGATTCTGCATATACTGACTCAAATGTTGCACACTGTAAGATATATCAGGTCTTGTATTAGTTAGATAATTCAGCTTACCTATTAGCTTCCTGAAATGTGAAGGATCAGGCAACAGGGGTCCCTCATCTGCACTTAGCTTGACTGTGGAGTCTAGTGGAGAAGTCAAAGCTGAATACTGCATAAAGTTAAATTCTGACAGCAAGTCCATTGTGAACTTCCTTTGTGATATCAACACTCCATCTCCTTTATACAGAATTTCTAGACCTAGAAAGTAATGTAGTCTTCCTAAGTCCTTTATCCTGAAGGTGTTATGTAAGCAGGCCTTTAGTGCCTCTATTTCTTGCAAATCAGTCCCTGTCACTAGGACATCATCTACATAAACAACCACAAATACCATTGAACCTTCATGTTTTCTGTAAAACAAAGAATAGTCTAACAAGGAGTGTGTGTACCCCCTGGAGCAAAGTGCTTCAGTCAGCTTCTCATACCATTGCCTACTGGCTTGCTTCAGCCCATACAAGGATTTATTCAATTTGCACACTAAAAGTGAGCTTTCTACAACAAGGCCTGGAGGTACTTCCATGTATACCTCTTCATGGAGGTCTCCATGTAGGAATGCATTGTTTACATCTAACTGAAAGATGTTCCAACCTTTCTTTACCGCTACTCCAATTAGAGCCCTAACAGTTGTCATTTTAACTACAGGTGAAAAGGTCTCTGTGTAGTCTACCCCAGCCTCTTGAGTGTATCCTTTTACTACTAGCCTTGCCTTTAATCTCTCTATGCTCCCATCTGCCCTATGTTTCACCTTATATACCCATTTACACCCTATTGCCCTTTTTCCTTCTGGAAGAGGCACAAGGCTCCAAGTGTGGTTAGCATAAAGAGCCTCAAATTCCTGATTCATTGCTGCCTGCCAGGCAGGATCAGCATCTGCCTCCTCATATGAACTAGGTTCAGTCTCATGAGAAATATTCTTAACCAGTTGCTGACTATCAGAAGATAAGGTATTAAGAGATATACATTGGGTATTGGGTGTGAATGCATTGAAGGAAAGAGATGTGGTACTTTGGTTGCTACTGGAGGGAGAATTAGAGTGATTTGTTTGTAACTTGGGTAGTGAATAGTTATAATCCTTTAAGTAGGCAGGGACTTTGAGTGTTCTAGATGGCCTTCCTGAAATTTCATCAGGACTTTGCAATGCTGAATTAGGGGTGTTATCAGACAAGGGAAAAGGTTCTTCTGAACTTGAAGTCATGTAGGGATCAGGTTCCATTGCCCTTGGTGGTGAGGATTCAGGTGACATCCTTGGGAGAGATGTACTAGGAGAATTAGGGGTAGGAGCAGTTCTATGAGGAGGAAACAGATCTTTTGCTAATTCTGCATTTACTTGTGGAAATGAAGGGAAAACTTTGTTAGAACTAGAATGCAAAGCAAAAGGAAATATTCCTTCATGAAACACAACATCCCTTGAAACATGAATTCTCTTTGTGACTAGATTGAGTACCTTGTAACCCTTTGTCCCAAAGGGATATCCTACAAACACATGAGGCAAGGACCTGGATTCAAATTTATCTTTGTGGGGCCTTAGGTTTGTAGGAAAACAGAGGCATCCAAAACTTTTGAGGTGAGAGTACTTAGGCTTTCTTTTGTAAAGTAATTCTAGTGGACATTTGTTTTTGAGAGTGGTAGAAAGAAGCCTGTTGATAAGGTATGTTGATGTGAGAATACACTCTCCCCAATATTGCATGGGGAGTTTAGATTGATACAACAAAGCCCTGGCTGTTTCCAAAAGGTATTTGTGCTTTCTTCAACTATGCCATTATGCTGAGGTGTGTAGGGGCATGTTCTATGGTGTACAATTCCCTCTGATTGTAAGAAAGAGGCAGTCTCAAAATTTATGAACTCAAGACCATTATCTGTTCTAATAGTCTTAATGGAACAGTTAAATTGGTTTTTCACCATGGCAGAAAAAGCTTTAACTACTTGCAGGGCATTGCTCTTACAACTGAGAAGGTGTGTCCAAGTGCACCTGCTGTAATCATCTACTAGAGTGATAAAGTATTTGTTTCTGTCATGGGTTGGTACATGATAGGGCCCCCACAAATCTACATGTAGAATTTCAAAAACCTTGGTTGTTACTGTGGTTCTTTCTGGGAAAGGTAGCCTGTTCTGTCTAGCCATTGGGCATATTGGACAAGTGAAGGACTGTTTGGATGAAAATTGGAAGGGTATGGACTCAATCCCCCTCATTTTGGAAAAAGGTACATGCCCCAATCTATTGTGCCACAAGAGATCAATCATGTATTTATCATTCATAGATGCATTACATGTAGGACTAATATTTCTTTTACATTGCACATGAGAATTTGCAACAAGTTTATTACATTCAGGAGAAGAAGTATGAAATCTAGATGCAGTATGAGAATCAGAGTGTGGACTACTACTATTGTTTCTAATTTCACTAGGTGAGATAGACTGAGTGATTTCATCACCTTTATTTGGTGCACTAGAAGAATTATCAAGGGCTAGGGAATTGAATTTGCAGGAGTCTGAAAGACTGGACTTGTAAGAATTTGACTTGTAAAGGTACAGGACATCCTTACTTTCACCAATTGCCAGAGGCCTCTTCAGTGAAGGGGCCTGCAGAAGGATGCATATAAACTTGGTGAATATGACAAAGCAATCAAATTGGACAGTCAAACAATGTACTGAGATTAGGTTAAATTTGAAACTGGGAACAAAAAGAACTCTTTTCAGAGTGAACTTAGGACTCATCACTACATCCCCCATTAATGTCACCTTCACCTTGTAACCATTGGGAAAGGTAACTAGGAAAGGGTAAACTAAGGTTTTCACATTTATTAACATGGATTTGTCATAGGTCATATGGTTTGATGCCCAGAGTCAAGTATCCAAGAGTCAGCAACAGACTTAGAATATTCATGTGAACTAGAACTAGGATCAAAATGAGTTGAGCAAGCTGAGATACCTGCAAAGTTCACAGCTCCTGCTTTCATTTCATTTCCTGCATTTCCAGCGTGGAAGTTCTCCAGGATGCTCACCAGCTGATTGTATTGCTCCTTAGTGAGGCTCTGCATAGTTCTGTCTTGCTCTTGTGTAAATCCACTATTTCCATCTTCACCTTCAATCACACTTTCTCCTTGACCTCCATCAACGTCAGCAGCAATCCTTTTTCCCTTATTGAACCTTGAGTCTTGAGGGTAACCATGCAACTTATAGCATCTTTCCTTGATGTGGCTTGGCTTCTTGCAAAATCACAGAAAGGTCGTGATCTATTCCCAAATTGTCCTCCTCTGTAATTGTTATATCCACTTCTATTTCCCTGTTGATTGTGGTTCACATAACCTCCATAGTCAGCAACATTTGTCTGTTGACCAAAGCTTGTCTTGAAGTGATTCCCTCCTGATTTGTTGGCACTCAAAGCAGTGGACTCAATTACAAGTTGGTTGTTTGGTTTGACCTCTCTTTGTTTCTCCTCTTTAATAAGGATTGAAAAAGTTTGTGCGAGAGAGGGTAATGGATTCATCATTAAGATGCTTCCCCTGACTATAGTATAAACCTCGTTAAGTCCCATTAGAAATTGAATCAATCTTCTGTCTTCCTCAGCTTTCTGCATACTCGCCTTAGCACCACATGTGCAATTACATCTGCATTGAGTGTGTGAATTCAACATGTTTAGTTCTTTCCAAAGCTTCTTCATTTTGGTGTAGTACCCAGTGATATCTAGGATTCCTTGGCTCAAATCGTTTATCTCCCTTTGCAATTGATATAATTTTGCCCCGTTTGTTTGATCATATCTGTCCTCAAGTTCTTTCCACAGCTCCTGAGCATTATTGACATATTGTAGGCTATCCGCCAGGTCCTTTGAGATAGAGTTCAGGATCCACGATGTGACCATGTCATCGCAGCGTTCCCACTGATCATACCTAAGGTCCTGAGGATTTGGCTTCGCGCATTTTCCATTTATAAATCCTACCTTGTTCTTCACTGAGAGAGCTCTCAGTACTCCTCTTCTCCACGAGCTATAGCCAGATCCGTCGAACAATCCCGGTACAAGTGCAGAACCAGTGCTCTCAGATGGATGCATGTAAAGTGGATTTGTTGAATCCAAGGCCGGATTTGTGGAATTCGATGTGTTTTCATCAATAGCCATAGTTATCAAGGGTTAATTTGAAAAAAAAAAAAGAGAGAGATTTTGAGCTTCGTACAAATGAACTCCGTAGGGATACACTTCGAACAGTGAAGAGAAATTGACCGATCGGACTTAGGATCGAGAGCCTTGCTCTGATACCATGACAAAATGGCTAGGAAATGAAGAAGATGAACTCACCTTGTGTGAGCTCTAATGGCGGTTGAGGCCAGCCATAGATGAGAGAGTTCTAGAAGCTTTTCTATTTTCTAATTTCTGAATATAGTAAAATGAGTGTCTTTACAAGAGGTATATAGGAAAATGATGTAAAACTATAGAGGATGCACATTACACTGTATGAGAGAGTATCTACCACTATTTATACTTGTACTACATACACATTCACCTGTACAAAATATTACTTGTACAAAAAATGAAATAAATATATACGTGTGTCAATAAAAACTATAGTTAATTCATTCTTGATTATGTAAAAGGACACTTATTTTGGACCAAAATAAAAATGCCAAAAAGTCACTTATTATGAACCGAAAAGAGTATGTATTTGCATAAAAAAGCTGAAACTGATAAACTTATTATTATCTACCCATACTGTCCCCAAAATGTAACTTCATAAATTGTATATAGCATTTCCATGGACTCATTTATTGAACTCTAACGTAGCTTGCACTTGTAACTCTCTTTCGTAGTGAATATGATCATATTCTTATACGTTTTTCTCGGAAAAAGTTTTTTGATTAGCCTAAGTAATCGTAAGTACTTGCCCTGTTACTTTTTTTCCCTCACACTTATGTTTTCCTTTTAAAATTAAAATGAATTTTCTACTTCTTTTTTCTCTGAGTAATAACGGGGGTGCAACCTACCGCAGGAGATCAAAGTCATAATTACTGTAAAACACAGGTCCTCACTTCACTCAATCTCGAGGTGAACAACAATGGAGATCGGAGGGAGATAAAGTTTGCATGACGAAGAGAGAGAAGAAAGAAGAATTTAGAATGGGCCAACCGACATTTCTTACATCTGTAGCATCAATATATACAAAGTTTCCTAACTAAAATGAATAACAAAAATAGCCTCCTACACCAAATTAACTAACTAGCCACTTTACAAGTACATAGTCACTTTTACATAATTAGCCATCTCAACACCCCCTCAAGTTGGTGGTGTAGCAAACACTGTCAACTTGTGCAAAAATGCTGAATGTTTGACTCTTATTAATGCTTTAGTTAGAATATCTGCAAGCTGGTCTGTAGTTCCTACATGTTGTAATGAAATCAGCCCTTCTTGTAGCTTGTTTCTGACAAAGTGACAGTCCACCTCTATGTGTTTGGTTCTTTCATAGAACACTAGGTTTCTTGCTATGTGCATGGCAGACTGGCTATCACAGAACATTGTAATGGGCTTAGAGCTTTATACTTAGCTTCTGCAGAGGACAATGAAATGGTGTCTTACTTCTTTGATTTCCAGCTAACAGGGCTGCTCCCTAAAAGTACAAGATACCCACTCATAGATTTTCGAGAATCTGGGCATGCTGCCCAGTCGGAGTCACAGTAGGCCTTAATGGCATAATCTGCATCTTTGGACAGGAAAATTCCCAGAGTTGGGTCCCCCTTCAAATATCTAAGTAGATGAAAAGCTGCTTTCAAGTGAGGTTGTCTGGGGTCATCCATGAATTGGCTCAGATTTTGTACACTGTAGGCTATATCCAATCTAGTGTTTGTGAGGAAGTTAACCTTTCCTACTAGTTTCCCATAGTAGGTGGGATCATTCAGAACCTCTCCTTCTTTTGCCCTGAGTGAAGTAAAGCTGTTGTAATCCATGCATTGATATTCTTTGAGCAAGTCAAGAGTGAACTTCCTCTAAGATATTATCACACCATCAGCCTAGATCTTTTATCTTGAAGTTGTCATTCAGAAAAGCTTTCAATTCTTCAATCTCCATTATGTCAGTGCCTGTCACCATAATGTCATCTACATACATTGCTATATAGACAGTTGAGTTTTCAGTTTTCTTGTAAAGCAATGAGTAGTCATACATAGAGTGTGCATAACCCCTTGAACATAAGGCTTCAGTGAGCTTGGCATACCATTTCTTACTGGCTTTCAGCCCATAAAGTGACTTGTTGAGCTTGCAAACCAACTCTGAATTATCTAAAGCCAGGCCCTGAGGAACCTCTATGTAGACTTCTTCATTTAGGTCACCATGCAGGAAGGCATTATTCACATCCAATTGGGACATGTGCCACGCTTTCTTCACAGCAACATCTATCAGAGACCTCACAATAGTCATCTTGACTACAGGGGAGAATGTCTCTGTATAGTTAATGCCTGCTTGTTGGGTATACCATTTCACAACAAGCCTAGCTTTAAGTTTTTCTACTCTCCCATCTGCTTTGTGTTTTATCTTATACACCCATTTACATCCTATAATTTTCTTCCCAGCAGGCAGGGGAACTAGGTCCCAAGTATGGTTGGCATGTGATGCTTCAAATTCTTGGTTCATAGCTGTTTGCCAGGCAGAATTCATAGCTGCCTCCTCATATGATGAAGGTTCACTGTCACTGCAAATGTCTCTTACAAGACTTTGGCTTTCAGGAATCAGAGTATCAGGGGAAACATGATGACTCTTGGAAAATGCAACATTAAGAGAGAATGGTGTAGTTGAATTACAGTATTCAGTAGGGGATGATGACTTCAATTTTGGAAGTGAGTGTAGATAATATTGTAAATATAGTGGTGTTTTGAGAGGTCTTTGTGACTTCCTTAGGGTAATGGAGGAGTGGCCTGGTTGATCCCCAACAGGTAATGTGCTGTGGTATGAAGGCGGTGGTGTGTCAGATTGTGGTGAGGAGGTAGAAGGTTCAGTTGATATGGAAAGTCTCACAGATGTTAAAGGAATATCATGTTCTAAGGGTTGATTGTGTGCAATACTTGTGCCATTATCACTATCATAGAGATGTTTATCATTTTTAGGAGTACAATCAATGAAAGGGACAGGATTATCAAAGACAAAGGGGAAAGATGTAGTTTCAGATGACAGAGTGAATGGAAATACACTTTCAATAAAGACAACATCCCTGGAGATACGTATCTTTTTAGTAGCAAGACTTAGGACTTTGTACCCCTTGACTCCATAAAGATAACCAATGAATATGTGTGGTGATGTTCTTGGTTCAAATTTGTCCATATGCACATTAGGCGCAGAGGGATAACACAGACATCCAAAACTTTTCATGTGGGAGTATGTTGGTTTTCTTTTGTAGAGTAGTTCAAATGGGGATGTAGGGTGACTATGAGAAGAAGGTAGTCTATTTATAATGTAGGTTGCAAACAGAACACATTCACCCTAGTACTTCATAGGTAATTTTGATAGGAATAAAAGGGCTCTAGCAGTTTCCAAGATGTATTTATGTTTTCTTTCTACTATGCCATTATGTTGTGGTGTGTAGGAGCAAATCCTTCGATGGATGATGCCTTTGGATGGGAAGAATAGGTTTTCTTCTCTACTAGTAAATTCTGAACCATTGTTAGATCTGTAGTTTTGATTTTGGTGTTGAATTGAGTTGACTCTCAACCATGGAAACAAATGTTTTTATAACTTGTAGGGTATTGCTTTTGCAGGTTAGAAGGTTGGTCCAGGTGCACCTACTGTAGCATCTACCATTGTAAGGAAATATTTATAATTATCATATATTGTAACATGATAAGGTCCCCATATGTCTATGTGGAGTAATTGAAAAATTTCAGTTGTGAAGTTGGTCATCTAGGGGAATGACAGTCTCCCTTGTCTAGCCATTGGACGAATGGAACACATGAAAGGTTGTTTGGATGGGAAGGAAACAAGGATAGAGAAGTTCCCTCTCATTTTAACAAAGGGTACATGCCCTAGTCTATTGTGCCACAAAATGTTCATATCATAACCAATGGATGCATAAGAATTCAAAACAGAAACAGAACTCTGATTTTTATTGCTCGAACTTAAACTATTTACATGGGGGAAAGATACACACTTATTTTTGGAGATTGAACTATGTACAAATGAATGACCATGACTGGGTGAATTGTGTGTGCAGTGTGAATCCTATCATTAAGGCAAGAAACTGAATTGCCTACTACAGAACTTGTATACCTGTTCCTCAGACACTTTGGACAAAGAAAGCACAGACCATCATAGGCCTTACCAATCTCCAGAGGCCTCTTCATTGAAGGGGCCTGCAGAATGCAAAGGTGATCAGTAAAGGCTACTATACTTTTGGGGTTAGAACTGGCTAAACAGTGAATAGAAATCAGATTGTATTTAAAGGAGGGTATGAACATTACTCTATGTAAGGTGATATCAGGCACAAGTGTTGCACTACCAATTTATGTTACCTTTACTTTATAGCCATTTGGGAGGACAACTAGAAGTGGGTAAGGTAGTGTCACAATATTGGTGAGATTTATTAAAGGTCATGTGATTTGAAACTCCTGAGTCTAATATCCAAGAATCAGTCTTGTTATTGAAACACTCACAGGACAGCTTACCAAAATTAATAGAGGAGGTGCAAACTACTATACCTGCAAAGTTCACAGCTCCATTGGTGGAATTGCCAGCATTCATATGTTCTGCTCCATTCCCAGCTTAGAAGTGTTGCAACAGGCTCATGATCTGTCCATATTGCTCTTTTGATAGGCTGATGTTTTGGTCTTCATCCAAATCAGTGGCTTCCTCTACCTTGTTGCAAGGTGTGTCATGGTAAACATTGGCCACCACCCCTTTTCCTTTGTTGAAACTCTGGCTTCGATTAAAACCTTGACCTTGATTGAAGTTTTGATTAGGATTGTGATTTTGATTGCGTGAGTGTCCAGAACTGTCAGGATAGCTGTGTAATTTGTAACACTTGTATTTAGTGTGATTGGGATTTTTGAAGTAGTCACACATGGGTCTTCCCCTACCATAACCACTGTAATTGCCATTGTTGGGTGAGTAATTGATCCTATAGGTATTAGACCTAGACCTGGTGGCATTCAGTGATGTGGACTCAATGAACAATTGAGTGTTTGGCTTGATTTCTCTCTGTTTCTCATCTTGTATCAGCAAAGAAAAAGCTCGAGCCAATGTTGGCAATGGATTCATCATCAGAATGCTTCCTCGAATCACAGTATATGTCTCATTCAAACCCATAAGGAACTGTATTAGCCGCCTATCTTGTTCAGCTTTGTAGAAGTTTTTCTTGGCACCACAAGTACAATTACAGTTGCACTGGGACCTTTTACTCAAAGTGCTTAATTCCTCCCAAAGCTTTTTCAATTTAGTAGCTGGTGATATCAAGGGTCCTCTGAGATGTATCATTTATTTCCTTCTGAATTTGATATAATCTAGATCCAATTATTTGCTCATATCGATCCTCCAACTCAATCCATAACTCCACAACATCATTCGTGTATTCAATACTATCCGCAATGTCCTTTGAGAGAGAATTGAGGATCCAGTAGGTCACCATATCATCACATCACTCCCACTGACGGAATGTGGGCAAGTGGGGATCTGGACGCTTGCATTCACCATTTATGAACCCTAGTTTATTTTTGACAGACAGTCTTCGCAATACACTGCGCCTCCATGATCGATAATCAACTCCACTGAAAGGAGTTGACACAAGCATAGCACCGGGATTATCCGACGGGTGTAGATACAAAGGATCGCTAGTATCGATTCGGGAATTTCCTTGAGTTCCTACATTCACTGCTGTAGTATCTATATCGTTCAAATCATCCACAACCATGAGAGATTGAAGCTATTTATGCTAGTATTTCACTATTTGAAGAAGAAGCCTTTGATTAGTCACTCAAATTAGGGCAAATGGAACTAACCTCAGAAATCGAGCAAATTAAGGCTAAATCGAAGAGATGATGAACTGAAGAGAATAACAGAACAGAAGAGACGATTGTAGTGGGATGGCCAGGCTCTGATACCATGTAAAACACAGGTCCTCACCTCACTCAAGCTCAAGGTGAGCAACAATGGAGATCGGAGGGAGATAGAGTTTGCATGACGGAGAGAGAGAAGAAAGAAGAATCTAGAATGGGCCAACCGACGTTTCTTACATCTGTAGCATCAATATATACAAAGTTTCCTAACTAAAATGAATAACAAAAATAGTCTCCTAACAAATTAACTAACTAGCTACTTTACAAGTACATAATCACTTTTACATAATTAGCCATCTCAACATTACCTAGATTTGGGAATATTATAAATTGCGAAGTCACCATGCTTCCAACAAGAGGTGAAACACCTCAACCAGCTTTCCTATTGGAACAAAGTTCATTAGACATTTTAATAAATAATAATTGAAGAATCAATTTAAATAACCATTCATCAACAACGTAAACTAATAATAAATAATGATTGTACACTACATGTATGATTATATATAACGAATGATTATATAATTCAAACCCAGAACCTGATTTCAAGAAAATTATAAGGAGGATTTTACATAAATAGCCGGCAGGATTTTGTTTGTTGTATATCTCGATAGATACTACATATATCCGTGTATATCACGCATAAATTTTCCCTCGATATGGAAATATATCAATGGTATACATGAGATATATCAATATACATATTGAATACAATGGAAGAAATGAAAAGCAGTGAAATAGTTTAAAACCAACCCAGCTGGAAATTTCCTATCTCTTCTTCTTCTTCATTTTCTTTCTCTATTTCTTCTTCAGTTCTTTCTTCATTTCTTCTGCAGATTATATTCTTGCTTTCTCAATTGATATAGTTTGATCCATGTATGAATTTCTACATGGTATCAGAGCCATCCACAATCAAATCACACTCGCAAAACTCTGAAACTCTTAGAATTCTCAGGCAGCTTTCAAAATCTGCAGAAACTAAAAGGGAAGAAGCAGAATTGGTATCAAGTTGAATATCTGGAAAATAATTCTTGAAACATGGCTATCAATGGTGCAGAAAATCTGGAAACTGGGAGTGGAATACCTGTCAATCAAATCGATGCAGGCTCAACACAAAATGCACCAGGAATCTTGCCTTCTATGGATCATAATCACCCCTTGTATCTGCATTCAACAGATGTAAGTGGCATTTCCCTCATTTCTCTACAGTGAACTGGTTCTGAAAATTACTCACTATGGAGTAAATACATGAGGATTGCTCTACTAGGAAGAAACAAACTAGGTTTTGTTGATGGCTCTTGGAAGAAAGAAAGTTTTAGGGACGAACTATGGTATCAATGGGAAAGGTGTAATGCTATAGTTCAATCTTGGATAATGAATACTCTGTCTAGCAATCTATTAGGAGGAATGGTGTATGCTGATGGTGCTCAAGATGTGTGGGAAGATCTTAAAGAAAGGTTCAATAAAGTGGATGGATCTAGGTCATTCAAATTACATCAAGAAATTGTAAAGCTAACACAAGGAACTGTTTCTGTAGCAACCTACTTCACTAAGCTCAAAGAACTGTGGGTTGAATTGGAAGCCTTAGTGCCACTACCTGGGTGCAAATGTGATAAATCAAGAGAATTTGTTCAGTATCTTCAACGACAGAAATTGTATCAATTCTTAATGGGATTGAATGATAACTATCTACAGGCTAGAAGTCAAATTCTTTTGATGACTCCTCTGCCCTCAGTAAATCAAGCATATGCTATGATAGTAAGTGATGAAGCACAAAAAGCTGTGGGAGCATCTTCAAATTCAGTTGGTATATTGGGTACTATGCCCAATCTTGAGTCTGTGGCTATGTATTCCAAGACTGGATATCAACCTCAGAAGTCCAGGAAAAATGGAGGTAATTTGTACTGTGATCATTGCAAAATGAGGAATCATACCAAAGAAAACTGCTATAAGCTAAAAGGATATCCTCAAGATTCTAGATTCAAAAGGAAAGGGGGTGCTGGTAGTTCTGCGGCTTACAATGTATTCTCTCAAGAAGCAGGTGAACAAATGACACATCTAGATAATCAAGGAAATAACAAAACAAGCAGGATGCATTACACAGATACACCTTCACAACTGACACAAATGCCAGGACAAATAACTCAAACAGGAGTGTGTGCCTTTACTCAATCTCAATATGATCAGATTGTTCAGATGTTAAATCAAAGCCATCAACAAAGCACAAACTCAAACAGTGGCTCTTCAGCCAATGTAGCAGGTACAGGACCGGGTATTTGCAGCAGTAAAGTCATGTTAGTATCCAAAATTCTCAAAGATTGGATCATTGACACAGGTGCAACAAATCACATGGTTTCTAATATAAATATGTTAGACAAATCTTCTTTACTAAAAGATGCTAATGGGAAAAATGTGCAGTTACCAAATGGTGAAGTATCAAAAGTAACACACATTGGTTCAAGCAAAATTTCTGATAATAGCACTCTAACTAATGTTTTTTTACTGCCTCAATTTAAATACAATCTTATGTCAGTATCACAGGCTATAAAACAGTTAAATTGTGTAGGTGCCTTTTATCCTAACTTTTTGTGTTTTTCAGGTATCTTTACAATTGGCAAGGTGTAAGGAGATTGGTAAAGAGGATGATGGGCTATATCTGCTATTAAACAAATCAACTNGCTTGCTTTTTATCCTAACGTTTTTGAGTTTTTTTCAGGATCTTTTACGAATGGCAAGGTGAAGGAGATTGGTAAAGAGGATGATGGGCTATATCTGCTATTAAACAAATCAACTAGAAAACTTGGAGGAACTGGATTAAATGCTCATGAAGTTACTGCTATTAGTATAGAAGAAATAAAACTATGGCAATATGAGATTTGGTCATATAGCTAGTACTACTTTGAATAAAATTTTGCCTGCTAACGACAAGGATATAACAGAAACTATAGATAAGTGCAGTGTATGTCCATGTGCTAAACAATGTAGACTTCCTTTTCCTACTAGTTTGAATAGAAGTAGTGCTAAGTTTGATCTTGTTCACATAGATGTATGGGGACCTTACAAAGTACAAACCTTTGATGGAAACAAATACTTTCTAACCATAGTAGATGATCATACTAGAATGACTTGGGTGTACTTACTAAAACTCAAATCTGATGCTTGCATTGTTATTCCTCTCTTCCTAAAATATGTTCAAACTCAGTTCAACACTTTAGTCAAAATAGCTAGAACTAATAATGGTACTGAATTTCTTAATGAAACCTGTAACAACATCTTCAAGCAATTGGGGATAATACATCAGAGGTCATGTGCCTATACACCACAACAAAATGGCATAGCAGAAAGAAAACATAGACATATTCTAGAAATAACAAGAGCAATTAGATTTCAAGCAAATATTCCTCTGAAATTTTGGGGACACTGTGTACAAGCTGCAATATATCTTACTAATAGACTACCATCATCTGTGATAAAAATGTCTCCCTATGAAAAAATGTATCATAGAAAACCTTCTGTTAACCATTTGAGAGTAATGGGATGTCTTTGCTATGCAAAGAATATATCTGAGACTGACAAGCTTCAATCCAGAACGAGAACAAGTGTTCTAATGGGATACTCAGAAGTGCAAAAAGGTTACATATTATATGATATCACTAACAAGTGTTTCTTTGTCAACAGGGATGTCAGTTTTAGAGAAGATGTATTTCCTTTTAAATGGAATACTACTGAAATTCCTATATTTAATAACACTACAACAGAAGAATCTCAAACAGATGAACAAACCTTACAAGTGTTGGAGCAACAGACTCCATCTAGCAGCTGCCAAGAATCAAGCAGAAGTCCACATTTACAGATCTCTACAACAACTCCTCTATCTGAGAATACTACAAATACACAGTCTACAGTACAGACACAAATCAATGCAAACATACCACCTATATCAGAAATCACAAGGGCACCAATAGTTCAACAATTGCCAACTCAGTCTGCTCCAAAGCAAAAACAAAGAATGGAACCTACCAGGAAGTCTACAAGAACTTCTAAACCACCAATATGGAAAAAGGATTTCATATCACTGAGTTTACATAATAAAACTAACTATCCAATTTCTAACTATGTGTCTTATGATAATATCTCACCAAAATATACTGCCTTTCTTGCAGCATTCTCATCAGTTACAGAACCACAATCATATACTGAAGCAGCTCAAGATCCAGCGTGGATTGAAGCTATGCAAGAAAAAGTTAAAGCTCTATAGGAAAACAATACCTGGGAAGTAGTAAACTTACCAGAAGGATAAAAGCCAATTGGATGCAAGTGGATATACAAAGTCAAATACAAGGCAACAGGTGAAGTAGAAAGACTTAAGGCAAGACTAGTAGCAAAAGGCTATAGTCAGCAAGAAGGTATAGACTATCAAGAGACTTTTTCTCCTGTAATTAAAATGGTCACAGTGAGATCAGTCTTATCTATAGCAGCTGCAAGAAGTTGGCACATACACCAAATGGATGTTTACAATGCATTCCTACAGGGAGATCTCACAGATGAGATTTATATGACATTGCCACAGGGATTTCAGAGTCAGGGGGAGAATAAAGTATGTAGACTCATAAAATCCCTGTATGGTCTAAAGCAGGCACCAAGACAATGGAATGCCAAATTAACAGAAGCTTTGCTAAGGTTTCAGTTTGTCCAGAGTAAATATGATCATTCCCTGTTCAGTAAGAAAACAGACAGAGGTACTACAGTGGTACTCATTTATGTTGATGATATGCTAATAACAGGTGACAACTTAGAACTCATACAAGATACCAAAACTGCACTACAAAATGCCTTCAAGATAAAGGACTTGGGTGAACTGAAGTATTTTCTAGGGATTGAATTTGCAAGGTCAGAAAAAGGAATATTAATGCATCAAAGAAAATATGCATTAGAACTAATTTCTGAGCTTGGTCTATCAGCTGCAAAACTAATAGAAACACCTATGGACTGTAACTCAAAGCTCACAACCAAGGAATATGATGAACATCTATCAACTATCTCAAGTACTAAGGATGAAGTCATATCTGACATAGGCTCATATCAAAGACTCATTGGAAAGCTCTTATATCTCACAGTCACAAGGCCTGATATTGCTTACAGTGTGCAGAATCTAAGCCAATTCTTACAACAACCAAAAAGATCTCATATGGAAGCTGCACACAGAATAGTTAAATATGTCAAAAATGAGCCTGGTCTAGGAGTACTCTTGTCAAATAAACCACAAGATAACATCACAGCCTTCTGTGATGCTGACTGGGCAGCATGTCCACAAACAAAGAGATCAGTTACTGGTTTCTTGGTAAAGATTGGAGATTTAACTGTGTCATGGAAATCAAAGAAACAAACTACAATTTCAAGGAGTTCTGCTAAATCTGAATATAGAAGCATGGCCTCAGCAGTAGCAGAACTGACATGGATACTAGGAATGCTCAAAGAAATTGGATTCAAAGTTCAACTTCCTGTAACCATATACAGTGATAGCAAAGCTGCAGTTCAAATTGCAGCTAATCCAGTCTTCCACGAAAGAACAAAATACATTGAAATAGATTGCCATTTCATAAGAGAGAAAATACAACAAGGTCTAGTGAAGACATAATACATAGTCACCACTGAACAACCAGCTGACATATTTACCAAAGGGTTAAACAAAGCTCAACACATGTATCTAAGGTCCAAGCTAGGATTACTCAATATCTTTACACCACCTAGCTTGAGGGGGAGTATTGAATACAATGGAGGAAATGAAAAGCAGTGAAATAGTTTAAAACCAACCCAGCTGGAAATTTCCAGAAATTAGTTAAGTTAGTTAAAAGTCAGTTAGTTAAGGTAGTTAGAGTTGTTAGATTAGCGGGAAAATTAGATACTTCACATCTGGAAATTGAACTAGTATTTAGTAGAGAATCTTGCTCTATATATATGGTTGTAATACATTTCATAACACAAGAAATAAAATACACAGTTCTCTCTCCCTATCTCTTCTTCTTCTTCATTTTCTTTCTCTGTTTCTTCTTCAGTTCTTTCTTCATTTCTTCCGCAGATTATATTCTTGCTTTCTCAATTGATATAGTCTGATCCATGTATGAATTTCTACACAACTAGATATACATTGATATAATATATGTGGATATGCATAGCGATATATATAAACCATACCGAATCTTCTCCAAAATGAGCTCAAATTTCAGATTCAGCTGTCCAAAGATGTTTGCAAGATATGCAATAACACCCATTCAGTTTAACAATACTTTTCAATTTTAAATTTCAAATCCTCGGCTTTCAAACTTTTCTTACCTATTGTGAACGTTTTTTTATATAAAAAATATTGAATAGGCTCAATTTCGCAACAATTTGGAGCAATCAATACTTGAACGATATATTCTTTCTGTTTAAGTCATACTCCACCAAGAAATTCATGAGTGCAATATTCCCTAAAATGAAAACACCATACGATTGAGCAAAAGCAAAGCACATAGAGAGCTTTCACTAGTCTCAAGAAATGCATTTACTGCACTCAACTCCACATCTACATCCTTGAAATGCATATTGATGATTTGATGATGTTTTATACTTCAATGCCACACAAGATGAGTGATTTGTGTGGTGTTTAATTTTTACGTGCATTGGTTTATAGAAAGATTTGATTCTTCTATGTGTTTCTTAGTCTACTATTGCGGAGTAAGTAATGCATAAAGTAAAGAGCACAAGTACTTTTACGTGGAAAACACCCGACTCAAAAGGTAAAAAAAACCACGACCTACTTCCCAGTAGGATTGTTTCCAAAACTTCACTACAACTCTGAGCCAAAACAACAATGTTTACAAACTCTTGTAAACCTAAGGATTACCTCTAACTCTTGTAGCAACCAGCTACAAACTGTTGCAATAACTTCAAGTTAACTCTAACTTGAATAATACAACTCAAGTACCTAATACAATTTGCTTCTAAAAAAGCTGAAAGGTACAACTCAAAAGTCTTACTACAGTCGAACTAGCAAAAAAACAGACACATGGAGCTGGTTCTTATATCTGATTCATGTAGCTCCAGGTTCACACTTTTCAAACACACATGAATTTCTTGCAAAATGTCTTGCTATTTTGCTCTCAATTCTTGCTTAACTTCAGTGTGTGTGTGTCACCTATAAAAGAGAACACAACTGAAAATATTTAGAGTTCGTAGGATTAGGATTAACTAGAAACCTGATGCTTTACTCTTTCTTGGTGGAAGAGTTCTATTAACTTCAATCTCTATTAACTTCAATCTCTAACTCTTACCTTATCTAGGATAGAGTTCTCTTCAAGTATGGAGTCCTGCTCCTTATCAACTATGCAATATTTTCGTTTAAGGAATATCATATATAAACATTTATACTTATTCCTTTCACGTGCGTGCCTTTTGCTTGAATCTGACCGTGCCCTGTGTACACTGTCCATGAACCTGGTTCATGCATGTGTTCCTTTGTCAATCATCAAAACAAAAACCACTCAGACCAACAAATTTTCCCTTTTTGATAATGACTAACTCTGTACTTTTTTGAAGCGTAGAACATGTTTCAACTTACCTCAACATCAAACACTACAACAAATTAAACACTTAGCGATAATTAATTAACAGCAATAGCTTAATTACTGCTAATTTATATTCTAGAGTCACTAATTACCGGTAGTTAAACTTTAGCTTGTAATTTTCTTAAATTATTTTCTGTCTCTTCACTTGTCTCTCTCTCATCGACTCTAAAGCTTAACGGCTATTTCTGCCGGCAAACCCACCAGCACCGGCACCGACGGTACAAGCAGACTAGGAAGCTCCCCTCTCTCTCCTCTTTCTCTATCCCCCCCCCCTCCGCCTTTGTCTCTTTCTTCCCCTTTTTTTCTTCTTATCCCCCTTCTTAACCCTAGCATGAAGTCGGTCGGCGACCGTCGCTCCTTCCTTCTTTTTTTTTTTCGGCGCCGCCTCTTTCTTTCTTTTTGTTTTTCTTTTTCCGGCTGCAGCCCCAACCCTCGCAGTTTTGTTCTCTTTTCCTGTGCTTTTCTTCTTCTATATACTTCCCTGCCCTCTGTTCCTCGACCTTGCCGCTATTCTCCGGCGGCATCAGACCGGTCCGACGACTTTCGATCAAGCCACCACCACCAAAGCTGTGTGCCACTAGTGGTGTCGAGGATAACGCGCTTCTATTTTTCATGGTCCCGTGGTGTGTTTTTTGTTTTTCATGTAGTATTTTTGTGGTTGTTTGGTGCCGGGACAGAGGCGTACGCGCAAATGCAGTAGAGCAGGCCAGTTCGCAGTATCAAGGGCTGAACGTCGGGATCCGCAACATCAGGAGTATAAGAAGTCAAAAGTCTAGGTTCTATTTACGGGAATTGGTACCACCCGCCTACTATTTATCTTTTTACTGTGTTAGTTGATTTGTTGCCATAGTAGTTCGCACTAATCTAGTCATTCTAGTAGTAAGCCTGTAGTTACTATTCGTTCCTTTCGTGTTTGGACCTTTGCTTGTCTGTGCTTGCATTTTTTTCGAGACTATTGTAGGTATAGCGGTTGAGATTTGTAATGGCAGAGTATGGTCATTTCCTTGGGGAGGGCAAGGGCCAGGTGGTAGGAAGGGGTCCAAAGGGGGTAAGGGGAACAAGGGAGCCTATAGGTTGAGGAATAGACCGTGGAATATAGGGACGTTGACGGGTAAGTCTATAGAGCTGGCTAAGATTCTCCAAAAGAGGAAGGTCAATATAGCTTGTGTTCAGGAGACCAGGTGTGTAGGAGCGAAGGCGAGGAATACGGATGAGTATAAATTGTGGTACTCCGGAAGCGTGAAGGGCAGGAACAGAATGGGTATTTTGGTGGATAGAGAGCTCAGAGAGTCAGTGGTAGAGTTTAAGCGGATGAATGACAGATTGATGGTGATTAAGTTAGTAGTTGGAGGGAGCACTCTGAATGTCATTAGCGCTTACGCGTCGCAAGCGGGCTTGGACAAGGAGGTCAAAAGGCGCTTCTAGGAAGAGTTGGATGAGTTGGTGGTGGTGGTGGGTGGGGGGGGGGGGGTAGGGTGCTCCACCTACGGAGAAGTTGTTTATAGGAGGAGACTTCATGGACATATTGGGTCGGCTGTTGAGGGCTATGGCGAGGTGTACGGTGGCTTCGGCTTTGGGGATAGGAATGGAGGAGGTACTTCACTATTGGATTTCGCTAGAGCTTTTTAATTGGTGATCGCGAACTCTAATTTTCCAAAGAGGGAAGAGCATTTGATTAATTTTCGGAGTATGGTGTCTAAGACTCAGATTGATTATCTCCTCCACAGGAGGTGTGATAGGGAGTTGTGTAGAGATTATAAGGTGATCCCGAGTGAGAATCTCGCGATTCAACATAGGCTTCTGGTGATGGACGTCAATATCTTGATTAAGAGGAAGAAGAGGTATGTACGGGGTCAACCGAGGATCATGTGGTAAGTTTTATTTAAGGATAATGCGTAGGAGTTGGAGGGGTGGCTGACGGCTATGGGAGCCTGGAAAAGTGTTGGGGATGCTAGCGTTATATGGATGGAGACGACAAACTCTATTAGGGAGCATCGGTAAAGTTGAAGCAAAGAAAGTGGCGTACCTTAAGTTAGTGGAGAGCCTCGACGAGGAACAAAGGAGAGAAAACAGAGTAAGATATAATGAATCTAAGAAGGAGGCAAAATTAGCGGTCACAGAGGCTAAGACTGTTGCGTTTGGTCGGTTGTATGAGGAACTAGGGGGCAAAGGTGGGGATAAGAAGTTATTTCGACTGGCCAAAGTGAGGCAAAGGAAGGTTCGTGACGTAGATCAAGTGAGGTGCATCAAAGACGAGGAACATAGAGTATTGATGGAAGAGGCTCCGATTAAGCAAAGATGGCAGGCGTACTTTCATAGACTTCTGAATGAAGAGGGGGATGGTAACTTTGTGCTAGGGAAATTGGGGCAGTTCAAGAGTCACCAAGACTTAAGGTACTGTAGGCGTATTAAGGTAGAGAAGGTCATGAGAGCTATGCATAAGATGAGTCGGGTCATAGCGACCCGACCAGACGAGATTCCAATTGAATCTTGGAGGTATGTGGTCGAGTAGGCTTGGAGTGGTTGACTGGGCTGTTTAATGTTATTTTCAGGATGATGAGGATGCTAGTTGAGTGGAGATGGAGTACGATGATTCCACTGTACAAGAACAAATATGATATCCAAAATTGTAACAACTATAGAGGCATCAAGTTATTGAGACATACCATGAAAGTTTGGGAGAGGATGGTGGAAGGGGGGGGGGGGGAGGGGGAGGGGGAGGGGTTAGGAGGGCAGTGTCTATATCAAAAAAACAGTTCGGGTTTATGCCGACCCTTTCTACTACGGAAGCTATCCACCTTATCAGGAGGTTGGTGGAACAATACATGGATATGAAGAGAGATTTGCACATGGTATTTATTGACCTAGAGAATGCGTATGACAAGGTTCATAAGGACGTTCTTTAGAGATGCCTGGAGGTGAAAGGTGTGCCGGTAACTTACATAAGAGCGATAAAAGATATGTATGATGGAGCTAAGACTCGGCTAAGGACTGTGGGAGGTGGCTTAGAGCCTTTTTCAATGGTTATGGGGTTACACCAAGGATGTGAACTCAGCCCGTTCTTATTTGCCCTGGCGATGGACGTCCTAACACACCATATTGAAGGGGAGGTGCCATGGTGTATGTTGTTTGCTGATGATATAGTTCTGAACGATGAGATGCGAGGTGGCGTTAATGAGAGACTGGAGGTATGGAGGCAGGACCTGGAGTCCAAAGTTCAAGTTGAGTAAGACTAAGACAGAATACCTGGAGTGTAAGTTCAGTGGCGTGACAGGTAAAGAGGACGTGGAAGTGAGGCTCGAATCATAAGTCATCCCCAAGAGAGAAAGTTTCAAGTACCTAGGGTCAATTATCTAGGGAGAAGGGGAGATCGACGAGGATGTAACACACCGTATTGGGGGTAGGGTGGATGAAATGGTGGTTAGGTCGGTCATATTGTATGGGGTTGAGTGTTGACCAATCAAGAGTGCACATATCAGAAGATGAAAGTAGCTGAAATGAGGATGTTGAGGTGGATGTGGTGGCACACGAGGGTGGATAAGATTAGGAATAAAAATATTTGGGAGAGGTCGGCGTTGTACCCATGGACGACAAGATGCGGGAAGCGAGAAGTAGATGGTTCGGGCACGTGAGGAGGAGAAGCCCGATGCCCCGGTTAGGAGGTGTGAGCGGTTGGCTTTGGCAGGTATGAGAAGAGGTATAGGCGGCCTAAGAAGTATTGGGGCGAGGTGATAAGGCAGAACATAACGCGACTTTATATTTCTGAGGACATGACTCTTGAAAGGAAGGTTTGGAGGTCGATCATTAGGGTTGTAGGGTAGGTGTTTGTTTAGGACTGCTAGCGGACTATGTTGTGTGCACACTATTTTTCTCGTTTTGCATGGTATTAGGTTATTACCCTTCCACTTATTTGCTGTCTCTTTTGATGCTGATTATTATTTTTCTGGTTTCTTTTGTTGGTACAGATTTATTCTTTTATTCTTTTATGATATTATTGTCTCATCTTTTGAGCCGAGGGTCTCCTGGAAATAACCTACCTACCCGCCGAGGTAGGGGTAAGATCTGTATACACTCTATTCTCCCAAACCCCAATAGTGGGATTCTGCTGGGTTGTTGTTGTTGTTGTAAACTTTATCTTGTAAATAAATACATTTTAGTGACAAGATAACAGTGGCGTACGCAGGATTTATCATAAGCGGTGTCACAATTTTGAACAGTAAACAAATAATAATTCATTATAACATCATATTAAAAAAATATAATTCGAATTTTTTATAGAACAGAACTCAAATATCTTACTAAATATGAATTTTTATTTTTTAAAATATATTCAATATAACCTTATTTTGAATAATACTAAATACTTTTTTTATATATATAAAATACCAAGTAATCACACAAAAATTCATCATTCATTTGATTATGCAAATTGTTATTAATCAATTTCAATGTTGATAGAGAAAATGAACAGGAAAAAATAGCCAAACAACTTATACAAATGTAACTCTTGATCTATTGGTTTAGATGTCTTAATGCTTAAGATAAGAGATCCGGTTCAAACCTCCACATTTTTTTATTTCAAAATTGAGGCACAAAGAATTTAAATCAAAGATGAAGCCACATAGACTCGAACTAGTGACGTATTCAAGAAGAATGAAGTGCCTGACCAACTGTGCTTTATTATTGTCAAGTGGTGTCACTTTATTACATTTAACTTCATTGTTTCTGTAGGAATTTTATTATACATACTTATTTAGTAAAAATTTTCGACGAAGCGGTGTCACGTGACACCGCTTGGGTTAAGGTAGATCCGCCCCAGCAAGATAAAAATATTAGTCCAAAAAAAAAACTAGTCTTTTCAATTCAAGTTGTGTGACCTCCAATCCTCTTTAGCTTCCCTCCATTTATTTTTAGTCTCTAAATTCCCCCAATTCAAGTCTGAAGTCTACGATCTCTCTCTCTCACTCTATAACTTTGATCGATGAGTGTCTCTTAGATTTAACTTGGTTATCCTTTTATCTACTACTCAATTTTCCTATAACTGTACTTATTTGATTCAGCTAACATTTTAGTTGAGTTTAGTGTAATATCAATCAAATCTCAATCTTATATATGTTTTTACTTTATACTATTACTGTATATATTGTCTTTGCTCGTTGTTTAATTTTGATTTTTGTGATTTTTTGATTTTTGTGTTGGTTTTGGTGTTTTTACTCTACAATTCGAAGTTGTTCTCTCTGCTTTGTATTTCAAATCTCGGTAATCTCCATAGGTTCTATAAGTTTAGCTCAATTTTGAACTTTATCGTACAATATGGATTCTCTGCTTTCTTCTCCATAAGTTCTGAAATTGCTTATCGTTAGGGTTAGAAATTTTCCTTCACAAATTCATACAAAACTTTCTCCTTCGCTATTCACCAGCAGTAGCCGGGCTCGGGCGTCAATGTTTTGAGGTAAGAATGTGAATATCATGTGAATTTTTGTACTTCTCCATATATCGATTTTATTATTAAAAAGGAAAAATTATGTATCGGATTTGAGAAAAATATTGATTTGATTATTTTGTTATGTTACAACTTATTATGTAAATGTGCTTATGCCATGTTCCTATGTTTTGTGATGTGTTGTGTTTCATTTGATGAGCTTTTTAAAAGCTGTATTATGTCCAAGTATTTTTAATGAGAGAATAGTTTGTTGGATTGAAGGACCTCGTTAGTTGATGTTAGAATCGAATTAACCGGTGAGAAATTTTTGAGTTCAGGCAGCTATAGAACAACTTAATTCTGTATTAAAATCCCTGCAATTATGTTACTGGAACCTGTGCACTGATTCTTATTTAAAGCATTTGGTCATTCTTATTTCTTTTACTTCTAATTGACAGTAATAAATTGCAGCAGTTGAGATTTAGTACCTGAGCTGATTATTATACTTTATGTGATCGCTTATTCAAATTTATACGATATTTATTGAAATTATAGGGAGACAAAAGAAGTAATAAAAGTAGGCTAATGTTTGTGCTGTGCTATGCTGATGTTTGAATTATTAAATTAATATTTTCTGAGTTTTTGAATACTCCTATATATATATATATATATATATATATATATATATATATATATGTATATTATGAATGCTTACTCAGTTTGTTGAAAGATATGACTACTAAATGATGACACAGATTATAGATGGACCACTTGTACAGTACTCAGGGTCATTTAGTATGCGGACTAAATTATTCCGAGATTATAATCCTGAAATTATAATTCCTAAACTAATTTACCCAGATGGGTTAATATAATCCCAACTTCCCAAGTTTGATGGGATAAGGTGGGATTAGGATTGCCCCCGACAACCATTTCAGTTGAAAGAAAACTTTGATGAAAGAAAATATTTCTTCTTTTTGTTTCTGATTTCTTCCTTACCAAATACGACGTATAGGAACTCGGCAGATTTCTACAATTCAACTAGATGAGAATTGCCCGTGTAGAGCACGGGCCCAACATTGTTGATTTGAACCAGATCATAAGCTACTTTATACCTTGATTTGATAATATTTCTATTTATGACATGCTTTATTTATTTATACAACTACGTGAGCTCTCTTAATCATGCTAGAAACTATCTTTAAGCTTTTGGTTCCTTGTTTGATCATGAATGGCTAATTTGACACGATAGATTACATGCTCTAACCGTAGTCATACTATGACTATCATTCTCTAATGATGCTTTGGAGCATTCATTTGGAATCCAACTGGGATGGTCAAAGAAGCAGTAGTAAGTAACCAACAGGCAACAAAACAAGTGAATCCTTATGTAATTATCAAGTTACACAATCAAAAGAGTTGGTGCATCACATATCAATTACCTAACAATATTGACTTTTTTTGCTATTCTTTTCCCAAATCTTAGGAGCTTGACCTTTCACACTGCCCGGCTATGTCAAACTTAGTTTCGAATACATGAATGCAAGTCCCGAAACAATGAGCCTTTTGAGCCTCTTTGAGGAAAGCTGGTCAACGATATTGATTAGATCGATCCTAAATTTTTAAGATATCATCTGAATGTGCTCGTGGATCCACCTCAACACCACTTCCAAGCTGGCATTGATATATTCCTTATTTCTCCAGATGTATATGGGTTGATTGTTAACAAAAAAGAAAAAAATAATTTAATAAACAAGTAGAGCATAAACCTTCGTATCTAATATAGATTACATCAATCAATTTATAGGATATCGAAGGTACATTCTTTTAGAACTATATATGATCTTATTCTTATACATAAAACTGACACAAAATACATGTATAACACTCCATCGAAGAACTACATACATATGTTAGTATTTTTAGGGAGGGAAAAAGAGGAGGAGGAAGAAACATAAGTTGTACTACACCTACATATGTAGCACCTGAACATGAAAAAAGAAGATAAGATGGTACACTAATCCACAAACAACAGAAAATATAAGCTCTAAATATACAAAAAGATAATGATAAATCTAAAAGCACAAGGAGGAAAGAAAGGCAAATTGAACACGTTAAAAATATTGCAGGAGCTATATGTGTCAAGGAAATAAGTAAATATTTGTAATAGCAAAGTATGTCTAGAGGACAACAATTTACAACTTCAAAAGGTTCTAGAAGATGATAACTTGAGAGCTAAGGAGAACTATCAAACAAGAAAAGTTGTACTCATAACGTAAGGCAGAAAAGATTTCTCAGGGTGATAAACTTCAATAATCGAGATATCAAGAGAGAAGTGGTGCCTATAACGTTACCTAGAGAAGCACTTTACTTACGGAAGTGATCCCACTAAGTTGAAGCTATAGCAGTACATATGCTAAATTTTATCTCCATTTAATGATCTCAAATGGAGAAGAAAGAAGTTTACAGACATTATACTAAACTCAATCACTGTAATGGGAAGCAGATATCTTTAGCCACAAAAATCACAAAAAGAACCAACTAATGAACCCTAAGTTAACTGTTAATGAGGTTACTCTAAGTTATATGAATCCTGTATTTATGTCGTATTTAGCTATTGCACTCAATAAAACTACCTTTTTCCCTAAATATTTGGACCTTTCGAGCTGATTGTATTCTTCTTCGCCATATGTAATTCATGTAATCAAGAATACCTAATCGCTAGAGATGTTGTTACAACTTGGACGTCAATTAAAAAAAAGTAACAGTCTAATATAAACCAAAGTGTTAGTGCAATCATTTGCTGCG